CCGATGCCGAGGCCAGTGTCGTGCCGTCCGGCGAGAAGGCCACTGCGGTGACCAAGTCCCCATGGCCCTCGAGCGTCTGCCGCAGCGCTCCCGTCTTGGCCTCCCACAGCTTGACCGTCTTGTCGTGCGATGCTGAGGCCAGTGTCGCGCCGTCCGGCGAGAAGGCCACTGCGGTGACCGAGTCCCCATGGCCCTCGAGCGTCTGCCGCAGCGCGTTCCATTCCTCCTCCACTTTTGGCACTCCTCGAATCCATCGAGGTATGCTGCCTTGGAACCTCTTCCTTACTGTGCTTGCTGTTGGTGCGAACACAAGCCCGCTATACGTCTGCAGAGGCGCCTGCTCAATCGCTGCCCGGTGGTAGAGAACGAACCGCTTCGCGTCGTGGGCGAAAGCTGAGAGAGAAGGGCCGTCACTGGACTAACTAAACCGTTAGCAAATTGTTGTGTGCTGTATTAAAAGTACACTTACAGCCACAGACGACTCCAAAGATGCGATGGCATACACTCCTTCGGACACTTTCCCCATCCACCCGAGCGCCTCTAGCCAGTGGAGGATATGCTCCTGCAAGAATTGGTGCACTTGGTCGTTGTCCCGTAGCTGCGTCCCGCTCTTCTGAACGTGTTGGACCCAGTACAGACATGCATACTGTAGTTCGGGAGGGAGGCTTTGCTCTACTTTGCGTCTCTCTATCTCGGCTACAAGCATGCCAGGAGTATCTACGCCACAGATGTCTTGCTTGAGAGCGCTCGACATTAGCTGTATGCAATGGCCTGCCAACGCTGCATGCGCCTGCTTCTCGTCGACCCAGAAAGCATCGCCACATCGGTCTTTGTTGAGCAGGAAGTCGCGGAACGACGGGTGGTGGGTGCGGACGGATCGCGTCGGATCTTTTGGGATATCCAAAATGGCGTACAGGTCCTCTAGTGTCTGGCCGACGTCCTGTTTCGAGACATGGAGTAGCTTGCTCCAAGCATCAACCGGGAGAGAAGAGAACGCGATCACCACGCTTCCGAGAATGTACCTTAACGTCTTATAGTGCTCTGCTCTCTCTTCGTCTGTGTAGTTGGTGTCAACCGAGTTGTTGAGCACAGTGACATAGATCTCGTTGAGATGCTTCTCTGGAGCTGCGGCAGTGCTGCTGTTGCTTGCAAGGATCGTCTCCATCCTCCTAGCTGCGAACTTCTTCCCATCGCGGATGAATCGCCACGCAGTTGCCGCCCAGATAAACAGGCCGCATGCACGACGGACCAGCTGCTCAATAGTCTCTGGCCCAGGCCAGTCGACGTCCAAGCTACGTTCCTGCCCAACGATGCGGAGATAATGTTGCAGGAAAAGGCTTATGTCGTTGTCCACGATGGACGGCGATATGTTGTGCAGTAGAAAGTCCTGGTGCTCCGCGTTTGGTATCTGGAAGAAGCCGTGTCGAATGGGCACCTCGGGCCTGCTCGTCAGGAACACCCGCAGCCGCACTCTCTCCAGCGACCGAGCTTCGCCTAGCAGCTGCACAATGATCTGGATGTCGCTCTCATCGTCGCACTCGTCGAGCGCATCGACAATCAGGACGTACGACAGCGATCCTTCCAGTTTCGATAGCGGGTCGAGCACAAGGTGGCGCCACTGGTCGCGCAGAGACTGGTTGGTAATGTCGCTGCGCTCCTTGACGGCACTGCGGATGTGCTGGCGCGATGCTGGCACGTTGTGCGCAAGCTGGAACGCGATGCTCGTAGCAAAGGTGCCGGCGTGTCCTACGTCGCCGCCGCCGCGCGAGAAGAAGAAGCTAGCGCCGAGACGCTGCTGTTGGTGATATTCGCGAGCCACCGTCCGCGAGATGGTCGACTTGCCCGTCCCCGCCAGCCCGCTCAGCCAGAAGATGTGTCGGTCGTCCTGTCCGTCAGCCCAG